TCTCTCATTTACTGTCACAATTAATGCTGAATCCCTTCTTCCTTTCTCTCAAGACGCTGTCTTGTTTTTGTCCTTTCCCTCATACTTAATCTTTTTAACTGTTAATTCCTCTCTCATTTCAAAAGGAGTTACTAAAATTGACTTTAATGTAAGTTTTAGAAAGACAGTAGTAAAAGCACTTTTGGACCTATGTCTCCTTTATCTAAATAGAAAGTATATTGTAAACATTTACTAAATACACTAATAAGAGTATTAATAACATATAAGGATCCTTAACTGTGGGCCACCTGCTTCCCACGATGTCTTTCTACCTCCCTCTCAAGTGGTTGTGGACATCAAGAAGGTCAGAAAACAAATATTCATCAACACTCCATGTGTTGTGTTAGAAACTGCAGCAGCAAAATGCAACCTTCAAAACCATAGGCTTGCTGGCATTCACATTCAGAATTGCAGAAGTTTTCATCAGTTCTTACTTGGCACCTGCAGGACTAGAATCTCCAATGCTTCTGTTTCTCGGAAATCTCAGAACCCAGAATCCGGTAACAGATGTACTAATAAGTGAAGAGAGGTAAATAGCATGAATCACCTGTATTTACTGAGGAAATAAACACCAAGGATCCATTGCTTCCCTCAGGGCAGAAAAAAAAAAAAAAAGAGAGAGAGAGTATCTTCTGAGCCAGGCACTTGGGGGTTTTCTAGTTCACTACCAGGAGAGACTTTTTATTGAATGGAGACAGAAGCAATAGGACAGCAGAAAGCTATGCATAGTTTCTAGGACATAATGTCAGGATGAAGTACAAGATGAAATTGTAAGTGACCCATGTTCAAAAAATTAAGAATAACAGCAACAAAGTAACCACAGAGCATGAAACCTAGCTTAAGGGACTCTTGAAAACAAACCAGCTCTGCAATGAGTGCAGAGGCTCTCAGTGGTGACAGTTTATGAGCCCCACTGATTTTCAAAGTCAGAAAAACCTGTTTTTTAAGCATGAAATTTCGTATAATCTGTGGGCCTCCATTTGGAGTTTTAAAACAAATTCCTGTCGACTAATATGAAAGTAAAAACACAAAGACTTACTTCCAGTTCTGGTATGAACCTATTTTCTTAGCCTCTTAAGGAAGTTTCTTAATGCCTTTCTAGACTGTAAAATGTAGATATTTTTATACCAGGATGTGGGAGGTAGAGACCATTTCTTAAAGCAAATCTCAGAAGGATTTAAGAGTAGCAGTGAGACTGTTACATCAAGAATTACCCCTCTGGGTTTAATTAGAATGATCTGAGATGAGAAAGCTAATTTTATGCCTTAGTCATAGTTGTCATAATTTCAAATTTACTATTTCCAGGGAAAACTGTGAGATGTGTGTAGGGGAGAAATGTGACCAAGGACTTTGTTCCTGTTTCTAACTCTCATTAGGGTCTGAGGAGAGAAACCATTGCCTGGACACTTCAGGACTGGGAATGGGCAACACATGATAGTTTTTCAGTAATGTTGCAAAGGTTGTTATAGCGGTAATAATTATTACAATGTTATGACACATTTTGTTAAAATTGGGGGATATTTCTGGATTAATCTATGTTACAGAAGCTTGAGTGGGTATTGAATCTGGATCCTGAATCACTTGAGGACTAAACAGGAGTGAGATGTTTGTGTTACTAGCATTATTACAGGTGAACCTGGGTTTGAGATGTGACTTAGACACACTTTCTGTTCTTTGCTTCTCAACTGAGGTCACTAAGACACACAAAGTAGTAGGAAAACTCTTGTTCCTTTCCTGTCTCTCTATAGCCTTCACCAATCAGCATGTTTGACTGAGACAAAAGGTGTGTATCAATGACATAGAGAGGATGATCTGGATAGACAACCAGGCAGATGTGAGCATCTTCTTCATAATCTCACCGATCTCCACGTACCTCACTGAGGTGAGGAGGCAGGCAGGTACAGCAAAAAGAACCTGAAATGTCCTCCAGAAAATGTTCTCTCCAAAGTCATTTGAAACATCTGCCCCAATACTTTTGTCATAGTGGTGAGTGGTGCCTAGTAAGTACTCAAGGAATGAGGGTAGTAGTCATTTTGAGGATTTCAAATAAATGTGCTCCTCCATCAGATGACGTAAAGAAAAGCATGGGAATGCAACTTTTTAGAATGAAGGAAAGCTGCACAATAAACAAAACCAGTAAGATTTTTCCAAATAAAAATATTTTTCATGGGAGGAATGTGTAGCAGGGAAGACATCATCAAAGTAGCAGGGAAGACATCAGAAGTAGCAGGGAAGACAATCATCAAAGACATGAATTTCTTTTATTTGTTAAAATGTTTCAAATATGTTTTTGTCCAAATAAAAATCCTTCTGACATTTGCATTAAGAGATGGTCTCTACCTCCCACATCCTTGTATAAAAATATGTACATTTTGGGCCTCTCTTGGTGGTGCAGGTGGTTGAGCGCAGCGCTGCGAAGCTGTCTGCAGCCTCTGCAGCCCAGTTCTATCCCGGCCTGCCGGCCAGCGAGGACACCACATGGCGTGGCAGAACTCTCCTGTCTCGCCCGCTGCTCTACTCAGCAGTGTATTTCATCAGTCTGCTTGTTCTGTTCCCTGCTTTGTCTCTGGTGAGTCCTCTCACCCTCCCACATATCTGGTCTGTACTCCAGTTCTTGTATGAATAAATAAATAAATCTTAAAAAAAAAACCCTACATTTTTGTCTTCCCTAAGAATAGCCATTGAGACAACAAAAATCTAATAATTTTAGGTATTTTCTAATATCAACATAGTACATTACCAGTCGCAGGTATGAATTGTTAGAAATACTGTAGAAAAAACATTTAGCCATAGAAAATTTAGCAAAAGCTTTGAGGATGTTCAAAATATTTTATTCAGCAGATACACTTCTAAGAATGTATACTAAAGAACAATCAAAGGTAAAAGTACATAGAAATTCAAGCTAATCTTAAAAATAATAGGCTGTACTGACAAACATGATAATGGTTTGCAAGATAAACAAAATGGAAAAAAAAAAAACAAAATATTGAGAGAGCTTTCTTTAGGCAAGACATTACAAGTAAATTTCCTCTTAGTTTTTGTATCTTCATTATCTCCCAGTTTGCTTTCCTAAAGTCAACAGGCTTTATTGAGAATTAAGTATGACTTAATTATTAAATAATTTAGGACATTAAAAGTGCTATGCACCAGAAATATTTAGTCTGTAAGAAATGTAAGCATATACTATTAAGTGAAAATCAGTCTTTAAATTTGTATATGGAATATGATTGCTTTATAAATTATAATACATCTGTATATAAAATTATTGAGGAGAAATATAAGAACACAAAAAATGAAAGTATCCATTGCTTTAAGACATAACCATACTGTTTTATATCAGTCTGCATTTTTACTTATTTATAGTGAGTATATGTTATTTTGTAATCTGTAAAATAAATTAATATGTACAGTCTAAATAAGTCTATGTATATTAAAATCACCTATATTATATGGAACAATAGACAATTCTATTTATATTGCACACAAATTATTGGTTTACATGAAATGTCAGAGGAAACCCACATCAACTCTACATTATCAATACTAGCAGATTTCATCTAGAACATAATCTCATCTGGTCATCATCTCTAACATCCCACTCAGCATTTGCAGTGTGCCCAGAAATGCAATCACTACAGCATGATTTGGAAAGAGAGAATTCAGAATCAAGAAATTTGCCTTTGTGGTACTTAGTGGCTGAGTGACTTTGGATAAGCCAAAATAATTAATAATTAAATAATCTCTTTGTGCCAAAGACTCCAAATGTTATAAATGAAGAAAATAATATTCTCACTAGTTATTGTATGAGGATTAAATTAAGTCATGAATTGAAAGTGAACACTAAACTATAACCATGTCACTTATAATTATTTTATGCATGTTGGTTTATTTTCTACCCTAGCTCTAAAGAATTTCTGCACTGACTTTCACCTAAAGACTTACACAATGAAAAAAATTAAATCCCAGCAGAAATAAATCAATAGAATACAATGAAAAGCAGATTACATTAGTATTCCATTTGGATTAAGAGTGACAAGGATTGATTTTAAGTTCACTTCCTAAAAGCCATAGTAGTTTCCAAAATGGAAAAGTTAAAGGAAGCCTACAATTAATTACTTAGGGAAAATATAGAATGTTTTTGCAATGATTCAAAAATACATTTTCCAAATAGGATTATACATCTGGATGTTAGTATATTCTGGTTACTTCAAGTTGGAAACACACTCTTTGCTGATCAAAAAGGCAAATAGAGGGGCCTCCCTTGTGGCGCAAGGGGTTGAGTGCAGCGCTGTGAAGCTGTCCATAGCCTCTGCAGCACGAGTTCCATTACCAGCCAGGGAGCTATTCATATGGCGTTGCAGACCTCTCATGACTCACCTGCTGCTCTCCTCAGCAGTGTATTTTAGTTAGTCTGCCTGTTCTGTTCCTCACTCAGTCTCTGGTGAATCCTCTCATCTCCCATACCTCTGGCCTGTACCCCAGCTCTTGTATGCATAAATAAATAAATCTTTAAAAAAAAAGGCAAATTAACTCTGGATACCTCTGTGTTGGGTGTGGGGTGGTGACATACATCCGAAGAGCTGTGAACCTGTGCCTCTGAATCATACACAGTGCTGTTCAGCAATATTACATCAATTAAAAAGTGTTTATAAAAGGAATCCCAGTATGCTTTCAAGGGAATGGCTAATATCAGTGCTCTGATATTCTGTAAGCACAAAAAAATGTGCCTATTAAAAGTATTCGTAACAAACAAAATCTTGGGAAGCTAAATACACCTTAAATTTTTTAACTATATATGAAAAAAGTGAAGTTTATTATAAGTTAAAGGAAAGTCCCAGGGAAAAATGCTGGTGGTCCTCAAAAAGACATTGGAGCCAGGGACTCTATCATGGTGAGGATCCTGTGTTACTCTTAGGTTTCAACACTATGTTTTCAGAGGTTTACATCAAGTAAACTGATGTCTATGCTGCGGTTTTATGGAAGATATTTCCCATAATCATTTGCTGCAAGGCACGAATCACATCCTTGTTTCTCAGACTGTAGATCAACGGGTTCAACATTGGGCTCAAGAAAGTATAAAAGATGGCAAATATTTTGGACTCCTCCACCGACTTCTCAGAGGGGGGCCTCACATACATGCAGAAGAGGGTTCCATAAAATACAGTGACTGTTGTCAGGTGGGAACCACAGGTAGAAAAGGCTTTGTACCTGCCTCCAGCCGAATGGATCCTCAAGATGGCTCTGATGATGAATAGGTAGGACAGGAGAATGATGAAGAGAGAGCTTGAGAGGGTAAATCCAGCAACTATGAACATCGCCATTTTTTTTATGTAGATGTCAGAGCAGGCCAGCATAATGAGGGGTGGGTCAGCGCAGTAGAAATGATTGATTTCAAGAGAGCAGAAGGACAAGTGAAAAGTGAGCAGTGTCTGAGACAGTCCATTAAGGAAGCCAAAAGTGTAAGGGACAATGACTAGAGAGATGCAAATGTTCTTGGACATCCGGGTACTGTAGTGCAAAGGGCTGCAAATGGCTACATAGCGATCCAAGGCCATTGAAGCTAGGATATAAAACTCAGTGATCACCAGGGCAATGAAGAGGAGACACTGTGTGAAGCATCCAGCATAGGAGATGGTCTTCTGGTCTGACAAGAAGTCATATAGCATATTGGGGGTGACATTAGTAGAATAGCAAATGTCTACAAAGGAAAGGTGACTGAGGAAGAAATACATGGGAGTGTGAAGGTGGGAATTGGTCCTGATCAGCATGATCATGCACAGGTTCCCTGCCAGTGTGATGATGTAGATCACCAGGAACACTCCAAACAGGATCCTCTCTAGCACTGGGTCGTCAGTGAGTCCCATGAGAATGAATTCTGTCACTACAGTGTGGTTTGGAGAAGACATTTTCCAATGCCTTGAAAAGTGAAAGTGACAAAGAAAGTGAGTTCTGACCCAGAGTGTGCATTTATTCCATCCAGGTAATTTATGGATATGGAAGACTTTTATCTACCCCCTTCCCCACCATGTAGAAACTTCAAATTATTCCCCACGTTGGATTTGAAGTTAAGCAAACTTGAGTCACATTTCAGAAAACAGTTCTAAATTCCTTGTGCTAATATTTAGCTTTTGTGAGCATTATTTTAACAAATTAATATGTTGGTATTTTGTAACTTTGTAGTCCCAATAGTGGTGTCCAAGCACACTGAGGCAGAATCTTCATGAATACAACCAGGGTTAAATATACATATATGTATATATCTTTAAATCTATCTAGGGACAGAGATTTGTGTGCATATATACAATTGCTTTCTTTTATGGTTTTGATTCTGAAGCTTTAATATATATTGCTAATGTTGCAGCCAGTTCTTGTTCAGTAATATACAAACTAGCGTAATGATTTTCAAACTTTCTTAAAATAAGGATCATTGAGGCATTTAGTTTAGAAATCAGATTCCCAGCAACTGCCTTAGAAAATTTAATTTCATTGTGTGAAATAGACCTGTTGCTCTTTTCAACAAATCTCTGCAAATAGATCTTTAGCAGGTTGTTCATTAAAAAGTTCTTTAGTCTTGTTGACAGAGACATACATTATTCTACTGGATCCTCCAATTGCATGAATGCATGACAAGCTTTCAACTTTCAGGATATTTGGCTTCTACCCCAATTTCTATATCATAATATTGCTTAGACTTGGAACACAGATGGATCACAATGTTCAAAGAAGTGCAATAGTTTCCTGACCTGGTTTCTATCAGTGGGTGAGAAGTTGAATGGCTCCTCTTCTCTTGGTGGGTTATACTGAAGAATCCATAGATAGTGACTGGCTCTGATTGTTGTCTCTGAGCTCCTTGCTTATCCCCCTTTATTCCTGTGTTGAGGAAGTATTTAAGTTTCAGAGTCACCAATAGTCTCCCAATGCAATAGGATGAAGTGATCTCTGCACTCACGGGAGACTCACAGATTTGATGAAATTCCTCTAAGGAGTTTCACTCTCTTCAACCTTAGTGATAAATTGAAACACAAGGGAATTTTTTTCTGATGCTCTAGTTGCAATTATTGAGTCACAGACTATTTCTACAAGCCCAGAGCTACTACATGGAGTGAGTTTGACAATAATTTGGAAAAATATGTTTGCTAATTCTTAAAAGTCCTTTCAAAGAGAATGATGTTGGTGACATGTAACTGAAGAGGTGTGATCCTATACCGCTGGGTCACACATGGCATTGTAAACCAGTGTTATCTCAGTAAGAAAAGAAAAATAGAATGATATTTTTTGTGTTATGGAAGCCAAAATTGTAAGGGATGATGACTAGAGAGATACAAATGTTCCTGGACATCCGGTACTGTTATGCAAAGGGTGGCAAATGGCTACATAGCCAATTTTAATTATATATTTTATATTTGTATGTATATATTATATTTATTATAAATATATATTATATATATTTTAATCTCAGAGAATCTGGTAGAGGGAACACATGTTTGAAAGTAAATATAACAAAACCAAATTAATGAAATTTGATCTTGTTTGTGACCATGGGTTAGTGTACAGAGGAAGGAAACTAACTTTTGTCTTTAGATTGATTGATTTATTTATACAAGCACTGGGTACAGTCAGAAGTGCGGGAGGGTGAGAGAATTCACCAGAGCCAGAGTGGGGAACAGAACAGGCAGACTGACGAAACACACTGCTGAGGGGAGCAGCGGGACCCTCGCCAGCAGCCAGGGATCGAAGGCACTGCAGAGGCTGCGGGCAGCTTCACAGCCCAGCATTCAACCACTGCGCCACCAGGGGAGGCCCAGAAACTAACATTTTTTTAAGAATATTTATTTGGTAGAGATACTTGGAGCCCTTTGTTTTGGAGTTTTATTCTAAATATAAACTTAGAATTTACTTTTCTGTGGTGCTGAAAGCATTTTCTCATACCAAACTTTTAAATGAACATTTAAAAATATACACATTTTTATTGCTGTAATACTGCATTATAACATTATGTAAATTTCAGGTGTGCCTCATTATGAATCAACATTGTATGCTCATAATCCTTTCAGAACGCAGTTTCTGAATCCTGATTCCAACTGGAACAAATCAGCTCAAACTGGGTCTGACTGATTCAGACTAGCTGAAACTGGTTCTGACTGGCTGGAACCAGCTCTGACTGGTTCAATCTGGCTGGAACTGGTGCTGACTGGCTCAAACTGGCTGAAACCGGTTCTGACTGGCTGAAACTGGTTCTGACCAGATGGAACCAGTGCTGACTGGTTCAAACTGGCTAAAACCGGTTCTGACTGGTTCAAATTGGTTGAAAGGGGTTCAAACTGCCTGAAAACAGTGGTGACTGGTTCTGACTGGCTGAAACCAGCTCTGACTTGTTCAAACTGGCTGAAACCTGTGCTGACTGTTTCAAACAAACTGAAACTGAAATTGGCTCAAACTGGCTCAAACTGTTCCAACTGGTCCAAACCAACTGAAACTGAAACTGACTAAACCTTTTCCTACAGACTCAAGTATTGAAATAATTTATGTAGCTGTAATAGACCATATACCATGAAGTTAATATTATAATATCTCTTCTTTGTCACTATATTTTAGAGTCTGTGATGATGGTGTTTGTTGCTGATGTATCTAGGCAGTGATGCATTAACCTAAGAAAAGGATGGGGAGGAGAAATGGAGATCGATGAGCTGCATCTCTGTTAGCAACATCTCTGTTAGCAATATAAGAAGCATTGAATTAAGTTTATGTATCACTTTTACTAATTCAATTACCATAGTCTTTATTTTCATATAAATATAAACTGGTTGTGAATAAGTGGGCAAGTTCATGCCAGTGTCTTTTTTCTTTTGTTTCTAACCAGACTCCCCAATATTTTGTATGTTTTTTTTTTATTAAATAATAGATATTTTGTTATTTTTTGATGGTTGGGACCAGTTTCAGCCAGTTTGAGCCAATGGGAACTGGTCTCTATTGGTTTAAGTTTCAGTTTGTTTCACTTGATTTGAACTAAGTCAGAACTGGTTTCAGTTTGGACTGGTCAGAACTGCTTTGGGAAGGTTAGAATCAATTTCAGTTGGTTTGACCCACTCAGAGCTAGTTTCAGCTGGCTTGATCCAGTTGGAGCTGGCTTCAGCCCATTTGGACCAGTCAGAACAGGTTTGAGCCAGTCTGTTCAGGTCTGAACGGGTTTCAGTTGAAACTAGCCAATTTCAGTTTCAGTTGGTTTGAACCACTCAGAACTGTTTTCAGCTTGTTTAGACAGTTTGAACAAGTCAGCATGGGTCATTCGAACCAGTTTCATCCAGTTTGAATGAATTGGAACCATTTCAGTTGATGTCAGTTGGTTTCAGTTTCAGTTGATTGGAACCAGTCAGCTTGGTCAGGGAGGTTTAAGCCAGTCAGAGCCAGTTTCAGCTGGTTTGCACCAGTCAGAACCAGTTTGAGCCACCTGGAACCAGTTTCAGCTAGTTTGAACTGGTCAGAATTGCTTTGAGTTGGTCAGAACTGGTTTAAGCCAGTGGGAACCAGTTTCAATTGGTTTCAGTTTCAGTTGTTTTGAACCAGTCAGAACTGACTTCATCCAGTGTCTTTATTTAGCTAGATAATACTAACTCCAGGAACAGTTTTATGCATTCTTACTTTATTTTCCTAGAAAATCTTCAGAAAACACTGTTTGAATTATACTTGAACATGTGACTTCCTTAGGTAATGTCACTCTGCTACAATTGCAAGGATCAGTTGATGAGGGTGTGTTTGTTACTATATTGATAATATAATGATCCTGACTGACAGAAAATGGGTATAATTGAAATGAAGTGACTGATGCTAACAACTTAAAATGAAAGCAGCCACTTGTGAGGACATCAGGAACAGACACGTGAGGCAAGGATAGATCAAAAAGTCTGTCTGTGCTGATGCTACCATAATTTCAGATTTTCAGGTTTAGTTTCCCAGCCAGGAATTGATCCCAGGCTTCGTGGGCAGTGCTGGGTCCTGGCCACTAGACCACCACAGGTTGGTCTCTAAACTTCACTGACTCTCAGGCAAACAAGAAGCAAATTTGTTTAGAGAAATAGATATAAGAAAAAGACATTCAATACTTCTATTTCAAACTTACATTTATAAATAACCAACTAAACATTATTTAATAATGTTTTAATTTAATAATCTTGGGAGTTTAACATGATACTAAGTCATTTGTATATCAAGACAAATATACAACAAAAAGCTTTATTGTATAAGCAATTTGACTACTAGGTTGGTGATCTTTTTTCCCTTTTTAAAATTATTTTATTAAGGTATAATTGATATATTAGTTTCAAATATACAGCATATGCTTTGATAATTTTATATATTGTGAAATGATTACAAGTCTAATTACCATCCATCACCACATATACTTACAATATGTTTCCTTTATTGTGATGAAAATTTTAAGATTTATTCTCTTAACTTTCAAAATATGCAATACAGTTTTGCTAACTACAGTCACAAGACTGTACACCACTTCCTGGAAGTTTGCACCTTCACCTATTTTGCTCAACACCCTCCCTCACCTCTGACAGTCACTAGCCTGTTCTCAGAATGTATAAGGTTGTATTTTTTTAATTTTGTTAGTTTATATCTTTAATTTTTCATATTTTTAGATTCCACATATATATGGGATCATATATTTGTCTATATATTTCTCATATATCATTTAGTATAATGCCCTCAAGATCTACCCATGTTGTCACAAATTCTTTTTACTTTTGAATAATTTTTAAACCGGTGATGTGACTTTACCTATCACATCAGAGACACTTCACTTACTGATTGTGTATAATCTTTATTTTCAGTGAGAAGATGCCTGCATTTTAGTTGCTGATTATCTCACATCATTTTAATTTTACCCTAAATTGTGAGTAAGCAACTGAAAAATAATTTTAGAAACGGTCTCTATTTCAGGCCATATTTAAGCTTATTAGGTATATTAATGCTAAATTATGTTTTACTCTTCTCTTAATTCAGAAAATAATTCTTTTCAAAGATATGGTTGAAAAACATCAAAGCACAGCAAACACTTATTTACACAAATTTGTGAAACATGTGTGTGAATATATATATGTGTGTGTGTGTGTGTGTGTGTACATGTCCTCCATTCCACATGCAGAAAATCTTTCAAAAACCTAAGTAGCATCATACCACACTTTTTGATAATATTTGTATTTTCCAAGAGTAAATCCTTGCTCTTTGCTACAGTGAACCCAGCTGCATGGTTTGGTTGCTGCCTGCCCATCAGTCCTGCACCGTTCTGCTCTCCATCTCACTAGTTTCTTTTATTTCCTCAAACAGAAAACTCTCAAAACTCCACAATCTTCATTCATAGCCATCATCTACCAAGAAAGCTCTTCTCTGTCTTATTTCTACCTCTGCTTCCAGCCTTGGTAGGCAGTCTCCTCCTCAAAGAAGGTCACCCTACCCACCAGCAATGATTATTTCCTCTGGGTATTTATCACAATTTGCCAGTCTAAGTGCGTGTATTGTATATGTTTATGTATATGAGAGGAATGGAAGTATGTCTATTATATTTAATGTTACTTTATGCAGTCATTCAGTAGTATGTAATGAAAGTTGTGACCACTACACTGCAGAAATGATGGTACATTGCAAATGAATTAATGATCCATTAATTAACATCTGACCAAATATTCAGTTTCTGATCCTTGCTATTCTCCTGTCCACAGAGTCAGCTTACAACCTAGAGCTAAAATCCTATAATTAGGGGCTTCCCGGTGGTGCAAGGGGTTAAGCACAGCACTATGAAGCTATCCACAGCCTCTGCAGCATGAGTTCGATCTCTGGCCAGCCAGGGAGCAATCCACATGGTGCAGCAGACCTCTCCTGTCTTGCCCAGAACTCTTCTGTCTCACCCCAGCTCCCCTCAGCAGTGTATTTCAGGGAGTCTGCCTGTTCTATTCCCCACTCTGTCTCTGGTGAATCCTCTCACCCCCCCACCCCCACATCTCTGGCCTGTTCCCCAGTTCTGGTATGCATAAATAAATAAATCTTAGGGGAAAAATCCTGTAATTAGATATGCTCAGGTTTATTGAACCATTGCATAAAGAAATACCACCACACAGGAATTGGAGGAAGGGTAGCTTACAGGTGAAATTTTAATGAGACAGCATTTTGACAGAGTCATTGCAAAGCTGGACTTTTGGAAAGGAGTCAGCATCCAGTCTAAACTCTAAAGTAGATACAAGGCTCTATCTCTTTGGAAACTACAAAATTAAGACAGATATCTGAGTTGGAACTTCTGTATCTGAGTTAGAAATTAAGAATGCTTTTCAATGTCAACATGCCTTAAAGTCTCTGGGCAAGAGTAAGATGATTCATCTTACTGATATAATTTCAAACAACTAATTTCAGATAGTCATGATTTTAAAGAACCATAGTTCATCAGGGTACAAGGAAATATCAGTCACTAGTGGCTTTAAATCATTTTCACACATGGATACTGAGGCTTTGCCTTGGAGAAGACTTGTTTCCTGCTGCATTTGCAGCTGTTTCTATGAATTTTAGGACAAATGTTGACCATTGAAGGGCCTCCCTGGTGGTGTAAGGGGTTAAGCACAGCACTATAAAGTGATCCCCAGCTGGCCAGGAGGCTGACCCACATGGCACAGCAGTCTCCTGTCTCGCCCACTGTTCCCCTCAGCAGTGTATTTCAGTCAGTCTACCTATTCTGTTCCCTCTGTCTCTGGTGTATTTGCTCATCCCCACACCTCTGGCCTCTACCCCAGTTCTTGTATGCATAAATAAATAAATCTTTAAAAAGATATATTGACCATTGAAGATATTTTTATTTTACTTTCACATGATCTTCAGAAGGAAATTATTATAGCTTAACCTCAGTGTCCTATGAAGAGTGCTCAAGTCCTCTGCTTTGTAATAGCTCTCCGCAAAGCACCCTTCACATCCTGGTTCCTCAGGCTATAGATCAGGGGGTTGAGCATGGGTGTGATCACAGTGTAAAAGACAGCAATGATCTTGCCCCCAGCCCTGGAGGACTTTGACTGGGGCCTCATGTACATGAAGATGGCGGTTCCATAGAATAAAGCCACCACCGTCAGGTGGGAGGCACAAGTAGACAGTGCCTTGTACCTTCCAGATGCTGACCGCATCCTGAGAACCGACTGAAGGATCCGGGCATAAGAAACAACAATGAGGAGAAAAGGAATGAAGACAATGATGATACTGAAGATAAAAACGACCATCTCAGTGAATGAGGTGTCTGTGCAAGCCAACCTCAGGACAGAAGGGACCTCACAAAAGAAGTGATTCAGGACATTGGGCCCACAGTAAGGCAAAGTCAAGGTGAGAACATTGATAACCATAGAACTCAGGAAGCTACTGGACCATGAAATGGCTGCCAGTTGGACACAGGTGTTTCGGTCCATGATAACTGTATAATGAAGAGGATGACAGATGGCAACATATCTGTCATAAGCCATCACTCCAAGGAGGACACATTCAATCATTCCAAAGGAGAGAGAGAAGTACATCTGAGTAGCACAGCTGGCAAATGGGATGGTCTTCTTTTTGCCCACCATGTTGGACAACATTTGTGGAACATTGGTGGATGTGTAGCAGATATCCAGGAAGGATAAATTAGTGAGGAAGAAGTACATGGGTGTTTGGAGACGAGGTTCTATCTGGATAAGAGTTATAATAATAACATTCCCAGCCACCGTTAATAAATAAAAGAACAGGAACATAATAAAAAGTATGAGTCGTGTCCTTGGTTGAGATGAGAGCCCCAAGAACACAAATTCAGTCACAGTGGTATTTGATTTGATCATATCCATTTTGCAGGTCACCTAGTTCTCAAATAACCACATAATCACACATCCTATATGTTACACTGCTGGAAATTCATGACATATGTAAACACTCAAGTCTGAGAATGTATCATATCTGAGCTGTACATCAAATAGAAAGATTTTCATCTGTTTTGGGGGTTATTTCCTCTGGATGACATTATGAATTTCAAACTCAAATACTGTTTAAGTTAAGCAGATAGACTTGCCTTTTATCTAAGGATATACTCTTTTACTTGTTTATAATCTTTCCAAATCCTATTCATTCTTCAAAGTCTTACCCTTTGCTTTCCTCTTCAAAAAGATCCAATTATGTTTTTGATCTGTGCCTAAGGACATAGCAAATAGCAGCCTGATGCAGCACTCAAGTAGAAAGCAGTGAAGGGCATTGTTAAATGTGTACCCATGAACCTTTAAATAAAAGCAAAAACAGCAGCCTTTGCCTTTTCTCTATCACTCTAATGCAGACTTCTATTCTTGCATCTTAATAAGCAAAGTCAGTGTACACCAATAAAATCAATCATGAATCACAAAAAATCACCAATTCTCCAGCTTCACCATTTTCATGCTGTGGGATCTTAGAAACTCCCATTATGTATAAGGTGGGAATAATGATAGAACCAATTTTTGAGGATTACATGAAATGATGTATACAAATTTCAGATAATGTTTATACATAGGCAAGAATCCACAAATAACGGTCATTGATAACCCTATGACATCCAGGGACCAATATTTATCTGGCATTCATTCCTTTAATAATTATTCCAGAGAAATAATATTGTAAAAAATGTTCCAGACCAGTTAAAGTTATGGGCTTTGTTCACTGAGAGCACCTCAGCTCCTACAGTGGACCTATGTGCTCTAAACTTTTGTATAGCTAATATGTTTATCTACCTGAATTCCAACCCTGAGTGGATTTAAAGCAACAACTAGAAAATCTGGGGATAATGAGTCCTGGAGCAGGCAGAGTCACAACCACTAGGAGCTGTCAACCACTTATTTGCTCATTTGTTCATTTTTCTTTCTTTTTTACTTTTACCTTTCTTCTTCTTTTCAAAAATACTGTTTTGATGCCTTGCTATGTACCAGATGCTGAACAGACTCCAGGAAACATAACAGACATTTTTGCTGCTGCTGTGGAGCTTACAGACAGTGGAAAGTCACTAAGTAGAAACTGTCCTGAAGAAGTGGGGGATTTTATCATGAAGACTTTTAAGCGACAAGTAGTTGTAGGTCATAAAAAGACGACTTTCTGCAAAACATCCTTTTTCAAATGATATTGATTCACAGGTAATATGCTCTAAAGGGCTTTCTTATATTTTGATTCAAGTCAGGGCTTTGCCAATCAAATAATTCAGTGACCTTGTGACATGGGCTAACATGTGAAGCCCAAGAATAAAGGAGGATGGGTCTGCAAAGTGGAGAGATATCAAGCCTCAGTCTTGTATTCATCAAGAGGAGCAAGAAATGGGGTGAGGGGGAGAGGTGTGAGTTCCTTGCAGGGTCTTCCAAGGATGGTTAGAAAGTTCTGCTGCAAATAAGAAATACTGGAGTCATTTTGGGGGAGTAACTAATGGCAGCAAATGACACTCACAGAAGTCCACCTGGACTTCTCAGTTGACAACAGGATAGCACAGCATCAAATGACCCAAGACTAGTGACAAAGAGCACAGGCTCCACTGCGGGATCCTGTGACCTGACACTTGCCTCTCATGCACTGGGTGGTCTCGAGGGATTCATGCCCCAACCTTATGCCTGGTTTTCCTCATCTCCAGCGCGGGGTCAGGAGTAGCATCTTGTAGAGTTGGCGGGTGAAGTAAGGAGATAATGCATATAAATGACCTGGAATAACCAGACATGTACAGATGGGGCTTAATGAATGTTAAATATTATTATGACCAGATAAATATTATCTGTTGAGTATACAGAATAGGAATTACTGATGTTTCTCACAGCACTATTAAATGGTGATGAAACTTAAACAAGCTTTTCCCATTTCTGCTTTACTTAAGGGTTCAGCTCAAAATAAATTCACCCTGATTTTAGTCAATATATATATAGTCAAACAAACATTACTGTCTAAGGCTCAAAGACTCCATTTAATTCAATTTGAAATAAAGTAGAAAAATGTTAGGTGGTTTGATGCCATGAAGGTACAATGTGCGCTGATTATACTTCTCTCAAGGCCTGCTTATTTTACATATTAGATACTTAATGAAAAATGATGTGTAGGCCTCCCTAGTGGCTCAAGGTTGAGTACAGCACTGTGAATCTGTCTGCAGCCTCTGCAGCATGAGTTGGAACCCCGGCCAGCAGACCTGGCACAGCAGACCTCTCCTGACTCTCCCGCTGCTCCCCTCAGCAGTGTACTTTGATCTATCTGCCTGTTCTGTTCCCTGCTCTGTCCCTGGTGAATCCTCTCACCTCCCACACCTCTGGCCTGTACCCCAGTTCTTATAATCATAAATAAATGTCTTAAAAAAAAAAAGAAAAATGATGTGGATAAATGACTCATCTTTCCATTCTGCAAATCACTGTGAAAAGTCTGAACTACATTGCATATCTAAATACAATAGTCCAACATTTCTTAAGTTCTGAGTTTTGAAATTTAGCTCTTTGATTTGAAGTGTAATTCAAATCACTTGTAGAACTGAATGCTTCATTTTCTCCAATGTGTAATTAATTAATTTTTATTTAATGTTTGTTAGGCTTGATGGGTTACAGTGATATAGATGGCCTTTGGTAATACTTCATTTTTCAGGATAATTTTACAAGTAACTATTATGTAGGGAAAATCAATTCTGGAGATGGACGAACTGAATCTGAAACCTAACCCAACCACTTCTCTGATGGGGTATTTGGGTGAGTTTCTAAACTTCTGTAAGCCTCATTTTACTCCTGTGTTAAGTAGGAAATATATTAGAATTTAATCCATAAGGTTATCTTGGTTGTTACGAGAAAGTACGTCTAGCAATTTTAGCATAGTACCTGGCAGATAGTAAGAGCTTCATATATAACAACTAGCAGTATTATATAAACCTCAAGATTATTTAACTTACTAGAAATAAACTTGTAGTCTCTGTGCAGAAGGACTAAGTGACATGATCATATTGAGATGCTTGATATAAATCATTGCAGAGGACTTCAGAACCTACACAAACTCGTGCCATCCCTATGAGGACACTGTTGCACAAATTTATGATGCCCTTCGTTGGCTCAACAAAATTTATTTTAAAAATCCATTTAAGGGCTAAAATAGCATAGAGCTGCCTCCCACCTAAGAACATTAGGAAAGACTTCAAGGAAGCCCATAAATATTTTTCTAGTGAATCGATCACTGAGTATGGAAAATTATATAAAAAAGGAATGACAGTTTTGAAGATTAAAAACTACATATATACCATGGAATATTACTCAGCATTCAAAAAAGATAAACACATGCAATTTGCAGCAACATGGATGGCACTGGAAGGGATCATGCTCAGCGAAAAAGCCAAAAGAAGAAAAATACCGGATGGTCTCACTCATAGCAGGAATCTAGAAAACTAAATAAGGACCAGGAAAATGAATAACTATAAGAAAGTGAAAATCAAAATCAACAAAAACTATGACCAGAGACACTTTTTGGGGGTGATTGGGGTCAGAATGGGGCGTTTGCAATTGTATGGGATTAAAAAAAAAAAAAAAAAAACTCCACTCACAGCACTTGCAAGTTGCACCACAGATGACCATTTACCACTTAGCGTGCGTTTCAGCAGTCCTCTTGAGCAAGTCATTGAGATCTGATTTTGATAAAGCAAGGAAGAGAAAGAAGAAAATGCGGAAGCAGGGACTCCTGGAAGATAGTGACTATGAAAGGGTCAACTCCTGACATCAATGAGGAATATGTTGGAAAGCATCTTAACAAAAGTTAACTAGTTTTGCAGTTCAGGGAAGGCAATCACTTTTTCGCCTCCAACCCCAGAAAAAAAAAAGCGTTCTCTCCTCAAAAGAAAAAAATCCCCTAAAATAATATTAATTTTATCATTCTGTTAAAATTCTCTGTGACATGGCAAACACATTTATATATGCTTTTCTGATAGTAAATAATATCTTCACAACTCCAAAATATCCTTTCTAATGATGAGAACATTGAATATCACAGAGACTATAGTTATCAGAGCACTTAGCAGACCCATATCATTTCAAGTCTGCTAATTGCTAATTTTCCTTTAGTTAAATAACTTCTGGTTTTATTTTTCTATTACTATTATTATTATTTAATACCTGATAGGGTAATTTTAACCACAGGCACAGTTGACAAAACAAGCCCAAAGGCCGTAAGCAATGCGTGGAAATAATCTATTTCATATCTGTCCTCACCATGTACTCATGCCAAAAATAAAATAAAATAAAATAAAAAACAAGCAGACATGATATCCATGTGCAAAAATAATTCAATTTCATTTGATAAAACCAATGTCCTTTTATGATAACCACAGATGAATTATTGCTATAGTCCAACCCAGCCCTTTTTATAGATTAAAGAAAGAGACAATGAATGTATACACAGTGAAATCCCTAAGTTATCTGACTTTTGTTGTTTTAGGACCTTTGGCTGGATTTCAGATTCTTGAGGGATAATGTCCCAGACCAGTAATTAAAATGTAATTATTTGTTCTGAGAGATTCCTGGTCTCTGCAGCTATTTGTAGATCCTCTTCTTGCTTTTGTCCCTACATATGAACCAAACACTATGTTTACCAGTACATTCTGTCAAAGTGACCAGAGAATAAGGGAGAAAAAAGAAATGATAGCAAAATTAGGTGTTACAAAAAGAACAATGCAGAATCTCTGCTTATGCACCAGGATGACTGAAAGTTAAAAGGCTGATTTTTGTGAGGACAGACAGCAACCAGATTTTGTATATGCTAGTAATGAGTGTGTAAATTACATCAGTTTGGAAAAGCTGCCAGCATTACTAAAGCTGAATGACCTAGCTATTCT